CCCCTTGTCCCCCCTCTGAGGTCCTGGATGCCCCCCATGTCTCCTGCGTGTCCCCCACCCAGGTCCTGCGTGTAGTGTCCCCCACATGCGTTCCAGGGTCGTGCGTGGCCCCCCCGGGGCTGTGTGTGCACCCAGTGTGTGCCCGGGGGTCCTGCGTGTCCCCCCAGCCCAGGGGACGGCCGCACTAGGGATGTGCGTGCGTCTTGGGGGGGGTGCCCCCCCTGTCCCCCCAAATCCAAGTGCCATGGGGGTGTTGGGAGTGTATTTCTCCCCTCCCGCCCCACGGGTTGGGGGCGCACGGGCGGGAGGTGGGTGTCTGCTCTTTGGGGGTGCAGAGCCACACTCGTGCAGGTGTTTGATGGGGAGCCGGGGAACTTTCTGTACCTGCCGTTGCCCTCGGGGGCACAGCGCGTACCGGTCCCCGCAGCATTTTGGGGTGTCCCGCACACAGCTGGAGGGGTTTGTGCTCGGTGGCGAGCACGCGCCTCCTCCTTTTTGGAGGACGTTTGGGCCCAAGCGAGCAGCCGGGCAGGGCTGGAGGCTGCCAGGTTTCAGAGGAGGCATCAAGGTGTCATCGGTGACCTTCCAGCCTCTCCCTCCCCGCGCAGGGCTGGCCCCGAGGGAGAGCTTCAGGCATCTGCTTTCCAAGACGTGTTTCACTGTTACGGTTTGAAGAACCCACTACCAATTATTCTCTCACCCAGTGACCCCTCCCCACCCACGAAGGGGAATCGAGAAAAAACAAGGAAACCCGAAGGTTGAAATATAAACAGATTTGATAGAATAAGACTAAATAGTTAACATTGGTAATGCGAAAGAACCAATATTGATCGCAATACTAATATAAAATATACAGGGATTATACTCGGCCCATTCTATCTGTAGGAAGCTGTGCAATTCCCACAGGGAACAGCCGACGTTGGACGCTGCGAGTGCTGCGGCTTCAGGGGAAAGGGGAGGGCTCGGGGGTCCGGCACCAGGGCAAGAAGTTCTCAGGTCGCAACCATCAAGGGAGAGAGAGAAACTCCTCAGCAAACTTTCTAATTTATATTGAATGTGCTGCTCATGGTATGAAATAATCCTGTTGCCCAGCTTGGGTCAAGCGCCCAGGTCTCGCTCCTCATCCCCGCGCTTGGCGAGCTCGAAAACACTGAGACCTTGAAACCCACATCCCACAGCTGGCTATAAAAGTAAATATTTTCACAAATTCGGGCACCAGAGTCTTGTCAAAATGCGATTTCCCCTAGCATTAGAAGAGACCTTAATGAAAAGTAAAACTACCGGAAGAGAAACCAACCCCGTGTCGCTCAAACCAGGACCTTCGCTGCTGTCGGCAGTCCACGCTGCAGCCCCGCAGCGCTGCTCTGCCTCCGATTCAAACGGCCTAATAAAAAACTAAAAGAGATAAAGGAGTTCTCCGAGGACTCTTTTACTGTCCTTATCAGCCATGAATTATAAAAGGGGAGATAGAAAAGTGTGTTTTGCACCTGGAGGAGAAAGTAGCGGCGGCTGTGCGGGTGTTTGGATTCGGTGGCAGTTTTTCCCGCAGCGCTCTGCGGGTTTGCCCCGTTACGGTGCTCAGCTCCTTCCTACCCAAGGCGTCTGCAAGCCCACCCTGAGCTTTGCAAACTCTTCGGTGGGTGTCCCGTGCAAAAGCCGTTGTCCCTGGAAGGAGGGGGACCCCACACAGGGAGGGGGGGTCATGTACTTGGGCACCATGGAACGCACCGGTGCTGCTGTTTGAGTCGGGATCAGGGATTTTTCTGCCCAAGAGCCGTCCCCGAGCGGCTGAGCCCGAGGCAGGCTGCTGCGCATCAGCCGTAAATGCCGTGCTGCAATTCTGCTCTCCAGGCTTTCCCCCGGCCACCTCAAGCTCTCACAGGTTTGGGTCTAATTTCTGCCATTTCGGGGCTTACCCTGAGAGCTGTGCCTGTGAGGGTGTGAACAGCGCGCACTGATTTTTCGGGGAGGACTTTTCGCGCGATCTTACCGCATGGTGCTTTCTCTGCAAGCGGGTGGTTAACACGTTCTGAAAAAGGAAGAGCCACACCAGAGGCCCGAAAAGTTGCGAGTCCCTCTTCGAAACATTCTTGATACGTTTTTTTGTTCTGTCGGCTTTCCGCAGCGACTCGGCGAGTGGCTTTTTCTGCCTTGCGTTCGGGTGGTGTGGCCGGCCCGTGGCATGCCTGTTCGGTCTGTTTAGTGGTATTTTTCACGTGAATTTCTGCCCGATAGATGTGTGGTGGTTTATTTAATGCTTATTTTCCCCAAGCCTCTCCCTTTTAGTTTTTCCATCCTCCCCCCCATCCAAACCAACCTTGCCCGATAACCAGCTGCCGTCTCTATTTCCCCCGTGTTGCTTTTTGCTCTCCGGTTTACCCGAGCGAATACTCATTAAAGTGATATTTCACGAGGAATTTTATTTCTTTTTCTTTTCCAAGATAACCAACGGCAACCAGCAATGCTAATTCACCCGCTTAGAAATGGTGACGCCCTTTTCCATGCAAGCCTGGCTGTATTTCTACCAGCGGCTCAGCCAGTGGCTCCCTGGGAACCTGCCATGCTGGCTGTGTCCTCGGCATCTCAGTGGGGCTGGACGGGGCAGATAAAAGGTCCCTCTGCCACTGTAACCGTCTCTCTCCGGGGCCCAATGGCAGAGGTGTTATAAAGGTGGTGAGAAGGCGGCAAACCCACGGCAATGCTGCCTTGCTCCGGTTTTCCCAGCAGCTGGTGGCCTCTTGGAAAGCAAAACCTCGCTTTTGCTGTCAGACGCTGGGAAACGGGAACCTTATCTGCCCGCTGCTCCCCGGTCTGCGCCTTTATCAGCTGGCAGGCTCCTCGCAGCCTTACTGCCGGGGAGGTTGCTGAGAAAGAACAGCTTGTTATTTTTCAAACCTTTAGCAAATTACTCTGCAAAATGTGGTTTGTGGGTTTTTTTTCCCCCTTTTGCCTGCCCAGATGTGCTTTCGCGTTTACCCTGCCAGGGTCGCTCTTCCCTTCCCCTCACTCAGACGTGGCTCGAGCGCTTTGGAGAGGTCCTTCCAATGATATTTTGCTTTGTTGGCCTGGTTTCGATCTGGGAAGAAGTATTTTGGTGGGTGACACAATCTGGTCCAAGGCTTTATTGTGCCTCACAGCGCTGCACCGCGTGGGCAGAGGCTCGAGGGCGGTGGGAGCCCCTGCAATGCCTGCCTGCTCCTCCTGCCCGCCCTCTCCCCAACCCATCCCGTTCCTCCGCAGTTTTCTCCTTCGGATC